GAACATTCGATTTTATGAGATAATCAAAAGAGTTTGATATTATCAAAGACTAGATGAACCTTGTGTGTACAAGAAGTTAGTAAGAGTATAATCATTTTGATAAAACTTTATGTGGATGACATATAGCTCATTAGAAACCAAGTATCTATGTCACAATCTATAGTAGATTTAGCTATCTAAAGAAGATTTTCATATTGGATATAAGAGAGGTAACGCACATAATAAGATAAAGATCTATAAACATATATCCAAAAGGTTGCATAACTCTTCTAATCTATAAACATAATCAAGATGCTAAAAAAGGTTAGCATAATGGAATCTAAAAGAAGATCCTTTCTAATATTGCATAGCATACACATAGATAAAAAGCTAAAAGAGTTTAGCAAAAGGACACTTATCTATGTTGTATTACATGAATCCTTCCAAAGGTATGCTTCACAAGACACAAGAAAAAAGAGAGATAACATGGATAGAATACAATATCTAAAATTGTATCTATCATACTCGGATACAATTTACTTATACTAAATGTTTTAGTACAAAGAAAGGTCAAAAACCATATAGATGGTTGTTTCACTTTTTTGTTATCATTCGACAATGATAATAGCAAGTTATAAGGTGATCATGTTTTACTTTATATAATGGCAAAATTAGTTTGAAAGAGTTTCAAACATAATATGACCATTAATTCTATAAACCGATGTCAAAAACAATTCTTTTTTTGAGATAGCAAAAGAACAATTTTGGATTAAGAAAGTTTAAAAGTTGAACTCCATGATTCCAAACATTGTTGAGAATAATGAAGCCATTACATAAGCAATAAGAATCAAGGTCCCAAAAATGATCCAATTATGTTTCAAGGCATTACCATTTGATTATAAAGATAATCAAAAGAAATGGTACAAAAGTATAACGAGTTTCCATAAAGGATAAATCTAGAACATGCTTTCATTATACCACTATCCCATGATTGCCACATGAAAGTGTTCGATATTTGATACCAAGGTGATTAATATTAGTGTAAGTGAGAGATTGTTGATAATATGCCCTAAGACCAATCAGATTGATTTTCAGATATATATCATATTATGTATTTTTATTATTATCAAAGACATTCTTTATCTATGATATTGTATACAAATAATTAATATTACTTACTTCTTATATATAAAATCCTTGGAATAAGTATTTTTGCAAGAGAATTACAATGAGATTGTAATTACGAGATCATCATTGCATTAAAACATTATTTCTAAATTGTTCCTAGTCAATATTTTGCCAAGAAAGAACATTGTTAAAAGTTGTTAAGACTAACACATGGCTATGATCTTACTTATGAAGCAAGCAACTGATCTCATAAGTTAAAGTTTGGTCAAACTCAAGCTAACATGTAAATGTTTGTTACAAGAACAAATGCATTGAACATAACCCAAGATGAGATTCTATATGACAGTTCACATAGTGTCTCTAGCTACATTCTTATGTGATAGTTGTATAAGTGATTTTTTACTTAAGATTATTTATGATCTTATATAATGAATGTTGTACTTTGACTTATGGTTCTAACCAAAAATGCTCCGTCGATTATTGTTAAATATAACAAGAGACATATAAAGATACATGAAATAATCAAGATTGGTTTTATCATCTTATGTGATCAAGAGAGTATCTCAACTAGTCTTGATTAAATTAGCTTGAGAAATATTTGTCCAAAGTGAAATAAGAGTTTAGAATTGTTCTAAAGCTTATTTATGAGTTAATGTCAATGACAATACTTAACATGGTTAAACAAGATTGGATAGACAATAAACTATATTCAATATTCAAATTGAGATACTGAATGATGAAAAGATATTAATTATGCACTAAGATCATTTATGGATAGGTTATCACGCCACATTGACTTTTCTTTAAAAATTGAGAGTCATAACAATAAAGTTAGCATTGATTATAATCTAAAAATATAAGATTAGCTAATTGGAGAATTAGTGATGTAGTCAAAAAATTTGTTTCATCCATAACGAATATTAAGACTTACAATGTTTGTGTTTATTGCCAACATGCTAAAGAACGTAATGGGTCATACATAATAAGACAATTGTGAAATATTGAAATTAGGACAATTATGTTTGACTTAATTTGTTTTTAGTATGACCAAAAATAGAGAAAATAAAACAAGAAAGAGTGACTTTCCTTGTTTAGACTATTCGACCAAGCATGAGATATTTATAGAAATCTACATGTCTTGCATTAAACCTAATATGGTTGAATATCCCTCTTAAAAAAAAACATTAAATTGACACCCCTCTTGTAAGATACAAGGCATACTTGATGCAAAAATAAGCTAAGAAAAAGTCTAAGCAAAAACTTGAGAGAAAATAAGAGGTTTTGTAAGCACTCACCAGCTAGAGTATGATTTGTGTTCTTCCCTACCTTATAGAAGGTTCTTTCACAAGAGTTCATGTAGATCACCATTAGAGGCTATACACTTGGTTGTACATCGAAGCATAACAGTGCCTTCGAAGATCACGACAACACTTAAGGTACCACCTACGACTCTTAAATCAAGAAAGGGGCGCATCGGTTTGTTTACTTAAAAAGTTAGCAGGCGAAGAACTTTGATTATCATAAAAAAGAGTTACGGAATTTCTAGAGATTCAGCCCCTAGAGACTAGCTAGCCTTCCTTGGCTTGGGTGGATTGCTTTGAATAGAAATGCTTTCTCTGGTTCACTGAGGTAGTTCGACTAGCTGGAACGTAGCGAAGGTTCAGGTTCAATTTTGATTAGTCATCCTATCATAACTAAATAAGTCATAAATCTTGAGTGCCACCAATTTAGCTCTTGGAGGGCTAGTTGGCTTAATTTAACCAACTAACAACATTATGAACTCTGAGTGGCTAGTTCTATCTCGTATAAGAAAGTCCAAGTACAAAATAAGTAATATTGGAGTCGGAATCCCATAACATCGTTAACCCGATTCACTTGATGTACAAGTACAACCGCCATGAGATCCACTCGGCTCATTGGCTCTGAGACCACGGAAAATAGCTAAGAAATAGCAAATAATGTGTTATGACACAATCTGTCCTAAATCTTAAAGTAAAAAGAAAAAACCTTTCAACGTCCAATTGTTCACCTCATTACAGGACAGTGTGGTTCCCCTTCTAAGCCTAAGGTATGTGAAACTAACTAGCATGGTTTCGCTAGGAGATCTTTCCTTTATCTTTCTTGATACGAAAGAAAGACCCCGTTAGCCTTAACCTTTCTTTGGTTGTGATCGTCACCTCGTAAGCAAAACCAAAGAAGCTAACTACTTTCCCGATGCACTTCCATTCACTCGTATTTTAATTTATTCAGTCCTCTCACATTCATTCAAGTTGCTTCACTCATTGTGCTCTAAGACTTGAGGAAAATGGTTCAACTACCTTTTTCATTAATGATAGGGACCCAAAAAGATATAAATATACAAGTGAAATCAATATGTGAAAAAGATAAGTTAAAAAAGTCACCTAAAGTCAAATTTACTGATAACTTATAAGCCCAAGCACTTTTTTTCCATTCATAAAAAGATCCAATCATCAAAATTAAAAAAAAAAAGGCTATCATAGACCAAAACCTAAAGAAACCCATCTTGTTGTGAAATATTGGCAAAGGAAAGGAAAAGGTTACTTCCAAATCAAAGATTATAAATAAAATAGAAACAAGATAAAATCAAAAGGACTCCCAACAAGTAGGATCAAGGAAATTAGCAGGACTGATCACTAAAAAGATAAAAATAAGTGCAAATTCTGACATCACCACTGCAAACTTATCAGTCAATTCTCCAGTTTTCACCTTATTTTATATCAAGAAGAAAAGAGAAAAGAGGGCTGAAAGAGAAAGAATAAAAAACAAAAGAACAAAAAATTAAAAATTAAAAATTTTAATAAAAATTTATTTTTAAAATTTTAAAAACTAAAACAATTAGAACTTTAAGTTTTTAATTTTACAAAAGAAAAGGAAAAATATAAAATTGTTTATTTTTATTTTTAAAAGTTTTCATTTTTGAAAAAAAATTAATTAAATAATTATTTTAAAGTTTGTATTTTAAAATTAAAAAAATAACAAATAAGCTCATGCCACAAGTATATCTTAATTATTAAATTCAAGAGATGATATGACATTTTTTTCGCAAATGGCATGTTAAACAATTTTTTAATACAAATATCATATTAAAAAGATTTTTATGTTACAAACACTAAATATTACATTAACTTTTTTTGTTTTTATGAAATTTGGGAGTAAGCAAGTCTTTTTAAAAAAACCAAAGTATGAGGTAAATTTAAAATGTTTTGTCCCAACTTGCCTATATATAAAAATATATATTTTATTATTTATTTAATTTTATATTTATATATATTATAATAATAAAATTATTATGTAATATTTTAATTTAACAGATTAACTTAATAAAAAATACTACATTTATATACAATTAATCTCTAATTTTGTATTAAAAACTAATATTTTTATAAACACGATACTAAATTATAATAATTGAATTAATTTCAAATTAAATTATACCAATGTACATTAAAGCCAAGAGATCATATTTGTTGCATAAAATGATGATTAGATAAAATAATAATAATTTTATATTAAGTTTAATTTGTATCTAAAAAAATTAATCATCCTCTCAAAACAAAATAATTCAATTATTTCACAATGAAAAGGATAATTCAATCCTCCTGAATTAAAAAAGATTATTTTCAATTTATAAGATTAAACTTACTTGTCTTATTATATCTTTAAAAATTACATTAACAATTTATATTATATAAACTTTGAAAAAATATAATTTTAACTAATAAATAAATTATCTCATCTTACTCTTTCCATGCATCAAACATAATATAAAATAATATTATTTAATCTAATCTTATTCATAATATCATCTTATCTTATATTATAATTTATATCCCTAACACATTCTAAGTTCCCTAAATATCTAACAGCACACATTGGATTTAATTGCAATTTATGAGTAAATCAAATGTCAATTAAATATCATCATTCTTAAGCCAACGTTACATTACATCCATCAAACTTTCGCAACAAAATTTTACTCTTATCAAATGCCTGTGACTGAATGCTAATGTCAAACATAATTCACAAAACCCAAAATCGCATTTTCCAAAATTAGACGAAAAAAAATTTGTACGGCTACGCTAACTTAAATCTAGAAGCATTTCCTCAGAAAAAAGGGCAGGGATGAGAATACCATACACAGACGCCGCATGTGAAACACTACATAATCATTTCTGTTGGCAACTGCACTGTGTTTGTGTTGCACTACATAATTCCCTTCCTTTTACAAGAATGGCTTTTGATGGCAAGTTAAAGAAAAATTCATAAAAAGATTGTTTTTATTTCGCTTTTAAAGAGGTTCAAGTGCTCCACTTTTTAGTCTCTCCATCCGCGCTTGAAGCCCAGACAACGCCTTCTCATCCATTGGAAGTATGCCTTCTTGTGGAGGATTCTCAATACCAGGATGATCAAATGCACGAGTCTGAGTAGAAAGTCCAAGATTTATGCTTTCATTTACAGACATCAAAGACCGTGCTCCATAATCAATGTTCCCAGCAGCTGCCGCTAGCTGCATAGTCTTCATCCTTTCTCTGATCGTGTCCAATTTGCCACCGGTTACTGCAGTTCCAACAATAGCTCCCACAGTAAATCCTTCAAAGTATATGAACGAAAAATAATAAAAGGTCACAGAAAATTACCCCCACTTATAAATCTTTCATTTCTTTGGTCTGCCGATGCATTTTCAGGGGCAAGAACTCTCGTATTTATGGCAGTACCAGCCCTGTTATCTTCAGTATATGGTGGCAAATTCAAATTTTTTGGTTCAGATTTTCCACCTAATGATTTAGAATCATTTAAAGAGTTTGTATGTACTGGGGAAAGAGGGGCAAATTCAGGTGATGAAACAGTAAGAGAAGCAGGGGGAGGGGTTGAAATCGGCAAACTAGAAGGAGTCCTTCCTGCTGCAGCATTCTTCTCCATCTGCAACTTTAGTAAAACTCATTAGCAAGCATAACATCCAGCCAGTAAATTTTACTCAGCAAGAGTAATAATACAAACCTGAGCTAAGCCATCTCTAATATAAGTGCGAAACGCCTCACTAGCATTTTGGAGCTGAGCAAATATATCAACCTAAAACAAATATAAAAATGTCTCCACAATTATCTTGGCTACCTTTGGATAGATAATAGAAACTATACTAATTACCTTGGGATATAGCTGAGTGATGCGATAAAGTTCGTAGAGACCAATAGTGCATGTTTGCTTGTCACCAATTTTCTTGAATATTGCCGCAAGTTCTTGCTGTAAGAAGACAGTTTAATGCAAAGGAAGAAATTGATTTTAAGAGGGACCAATAAATTGCAAAAAAACAAATATTGATCAAGGACAATCACAACTTTAGTAATGGACAAGCATCAAGTAATAAAAATAATAAGAATACTTTCAACTGGGCATCAGCAGAATTCGTGACAGTTGCAGGATTGTTGGCTCCGGAATCACCCCAATGAGTTTGACCAGGGCCAGTTGATGTCAACATTCTTGCCGCAGCCAAAGTCTGTTAAATTAAATATAAGGGATAGTAGTAGTTAAAAGACAAGATGCTGCCATATACAAACTTAAGAAAGTTTGTAGAATAATTTATTAAATTTACTACTACCTCAAGATTGAGATCAATATAGGCAAGAATAATTGGTTGAGGCTTCATGTCTATGGGCACCAAAGATAGATGACCCTTTATTGCAGCCCCTCGAAGCTTGACAAGTTCATGTAGAACAGTTTTTACCATTCGCAATGGTTTATCATCAGCTCCAGCTCTTTAATAAGAACAATAAAGGCAGAAAAATAACAGAAACAGATATCAGTTTATCAATTCTAGATCAAGATAAAGATTAACATTCAACACAAAGAGAAAAAAGAAAAGGAAAAAATATTGGGTTTAAGACATGCCTTCTCCGGATTTCTTCCATCCCCAATTCTTGCAGGTAGACATGAATACCTAGCAGGATGCGGTCAAGATCAACATCATAGATGGTGCTTTGAAGAACCTGCATTCCAAAGAATGTAACAGATGATATCATGAAACTAAAATAGAAAACAACCAAAGCCACACATGTACAGATGAATACACAAATGCCTATAGAAGAAAATGAAAGAATTTTCTCCAACATATGCCACAATTAGAAGGAATTTTCTTATCAGTTTGAGTGAATGATCTCTAATGATTTCATTCAGTCGCTCACTATTGATGAGAATATATAAATTTTCCATTTATCTTCAAGCCAAAATTATTATATATTATCAGCAATTACTAACAAAGAAGTTCTAGCAATCCTTCTAGGTTTATCATCAGAAAATGAATAGATAGATGACCCTAGTTACATCATAGCCAATAGAAATGGTCTGCTCACAAGCATAGAAGTCACACAAGACACAACTGATATTGTAAGATGGATTACTAAGTAGGTTAATGCTAATAGTGTTCGTGGAAAGAACTCTTGTTCAAAATTTTCTAGATCAAATTGACCTTAAAAAAAAAAAAAGAAAAGAAACCTGGACAGTTTAATTTTTGGTACATGACCATATTAGAGATTATTAAACTTCATATACCACATTGAACATTTCACTATAATTCAAATGTCGTTCGTGATATTAACCCTTTTCTTGAATTAATTTGTCAAGAAAAAATTAATTAAAGGGAAAATTAAGTTGCTTTAATTTATTAGGTTGCTTTAGTGGATAATGATTTACTGGCAGCTTGAAGGATTGGCACTTTATTCATAAATAGCACTGTTTCAGCCTATGAATGTTCCTGGAAACACCAAGAACGAAAAATTACCTTTGTGAGTTTAATAAGGCATTTGACAACCAGATCAGAGAACTTCTGATTTCTAGCAGCAAAAGTTTCATTTGTTGCAGGTGAAGGCCATTTTGACGGATCTAAAGGACGCAAGAGATTAATAAGGACAACAAAGGATGAGGTTCGATCAGCATTATCCTGCATGTATGATCATCAGTTAAAATCTTAGGAATAAGATACATAAATTTGAAGCAAAGACATAAGCATTTTAAAGCAGTTCAACCAGGATTTTAAGCATCAAGACATTCAAAGCTTTTAGAAGTTGGCTGCCATCATCCATATGGGGAACCCTTTCATCCAAAAGCCATAGTAGAAGTTCTGTAATAAGATTGTCAAGTGTGTTTTCCTTGATAGCATGTGCAAGTCTCTTATTTTGAAATATCTGCCAAAAGAATTCAAAAGAATTAGTATTTTGTAACAAAACATCCACTAATACCAAGTTTCGCCGCCTAAGAAACAAAAAAAATTTTAAATTAACTGCTTAGACCATAAGAATATAAAAAAATGGAGTTAATTACATTTTTGATACTTGAACTATAGTGAAATTATCAATTTGATACTTAAAAAGAGAAAAATCAAAATTAAGTACTCTAACTTTTGTTCCATTAAGCAGATGGCATCCCTCACTAACTCTGTTAGTCAAACTGTTGAGTTGTCCAAAAATACCCAAATAGAATGTGCCATGTGTGCAAAAACGCAGATAATTTTTTTAATAATTTAAATTGTCTATAATTTTTTAATTCAAAATTCAAAAAAAAAAAAGAAGAGCAAGAGGCCAGATCGATTCTAGTCACTACCTCCCTTCCCTCTCTTTCCTTCCTTTCCCTCTCCCCAATTTCGCTATATCTCTCTCGATTCTTTTTTCTTTTTTTTTAATTTTTAAAATTTTCAGATTTTATTTTATTTCCAAAAATAAATAGAAAATTAATTTAAAAAAAGAAAAATAAGGAGGCTTTTTTTTTACATGTGTCATGTGCTTATTGGCTATCTTTGCACACCACGCGTTTGACCAATGAGGTAGTGCAATATGCAAACTGATGAACATTATTTCGAGCACCTAATTATGATTTTTTTCCTTCAAGTATCAAATTGACAATTTCACTGTAATTCGGGTATCAAATGTGTAGCCTTTTCTTTAATAGTTCTGTTCCCCCCACCCTTCCTCCCAGCAAAAAAGAAAGAAATATACGATCCCCCCACCACAATCCCAGATTCTATTAGAAAAAGTTACCAGTATTTTAAATCGTAAATTTACCTGCATAAGCGTGTTTAGAACATATTTGCAAGATCTTGACGATGCTCCAGTCAAACTGACGTCAAAAGTTGTGGCTACCTATTAAGTGAAGACAAAGAAACGAAAGGTTATAAAACGGAGGAAAAGTGTGTTCTTTAACAAGAGTACTAACAAAAGTAAACTATTTATAGCTATGCATAAGCAACTCAATGCTTGGGGAAATTAATAATCATATCATAATGAAACTATGAAGTTTGATTGCCTTATTTGCCAAGCATGAAACTAGTCTATCTGCATCCTTCACTTGTTCATCTATCCAACTGCCTTCTGGGTCTTTGGTGGCCTGTGTTAACTCATGGCAGACAACTTTCATTCCTTCAACAGACTGCAATACAAAATGTATCTGATGCTCAGAACATAGTTCTCTTTGAACATGTGGAACACAAGCAATATGAATTAGAAAGAAATCATGACTTAAAATGAGTAATAACTAAAAAGAAACTGAAAATAAAAAAGAAAAACAAAAAAACAAAAAAACCATGTCAGGCATGAATCAAAACAACATGATTGGGAAATTAAATGTTGATTTTGCAATATAGATCCTGCAGAGGTACAACTAGCACATGAAAGATGGTTCATGGTTAAAGGCAGCAATTTTTTTTTTTTTTGGCCAAAGCTAAAGGCAGCAATTTAGAACAAGGTCAATCATAAGCAACCTGATTACATTTGAGTCATTGACAAAACCAAAAATATATTAAAAGCACAACCAGCTTTCCTAACTCATGCAAGAAAAGCCTACAAACCTACCAAAAGACTTCCTCTGATTCAAAGACTAAGGTTGTACCAAAGGCATCCAACTACTAATTAGAATCAGAAATACGAAAATCCAATTCTTAATACTAATAAACAGAAAAGAATATCCAGGCTTTATGATATAGCAGCGGAACCCTCATAATTTGTGGCTTCACTACCATTAAACACATTCCTTAAGTATATATCCAACCATTTCAAAGTAAGATTTCCCTACAATTTGATGTAACGTCTTGAGCGTTGTAAATTTAAGATGGAAAGGTATTATTTTACAAACTCGACAAATCAATGCAACATTTTGCATTCCATTCTAAAAGACTAAACCTAGTGCACAGAAGTTTGAAATCAAGATGCTTTTCTGGCTAGACGACTCTGACCCTTCTTATAAATTGGTAGAAATCAGATTAAGAAAGAGAAACAATTAACATCAGACAAAGTTAGAAACCTGCTCAAGGGAACCAAAAGAAATAATATCCAGAGCTTCATTCCAGTTTGTGGGGCCACTGACACCAACAAGTACATGAGGAATTAAATGCCTCTCCATGTTAAGGTCAGGTTGCCCATAGCTTTTCCTGAGGTTTTGAAGACATTCAAAACGTTGTTAGTAAGGATATCAACATAAATAAATCCATCATAGTGAAATCACACTCCATGATGAAAAAGATGACACAGAAACATCATAAAAATTCAATAAAACCTTGAAAATATTGACCCAGAAACAGATTGTGAAACTTCACCACTCTGCTCTGCTACATCAGGCCTGGCAAACATAAAGATATAAGAATTAAAAGTTGAACAATTGACGTAAACTACCACATGTTCAAAACAATCAGGTATGCAGAAACCATTAGGAAAGCCTATCTAATATCTACTATGTCAACTATAGGCACAACAAATAATGTAATACACTAAAAACTTGCCATGTAAAATGAAATAGGTGTCATAACTTTTACTAATCTGACAGTTACTGTCATTAAGTTGTAGTCTGAATTAAATTGACATGACCATTTTCAATAACATACAGATTAATTGGGCATACAGCTAACTTTACAGGAGAAGCTTACCAAATAAACTATTAGACATTACACATAAAACTAGACATCAGAAAAAGCATAATTTTTTTCTTGTAATTTTAATCCCGATAACATACAAATAAAAAAAATATCAAGAAGCTGTGAGGTAAATCCTCACACCAAAAGGATGGCAGAAAGATATACCCATTTTCCCTTACAGAACGCCTTAGAGCAGCTTTTGCTTCACCAGGCCGCCCTTCCCGCGTTTTTTCCATCTCACGGATCTGACACAACACATTGCGTTGAAAAGGGAGAAACAGACACATATAAAAGAAAAGACATACACTGACCTTCCTCTTAAATCTATCATCTAGCATGCCCTTTTGAGCATCTGTCAGCTTCCCTACGTATCTCCATATATCCTCACCTTGACAAATGAAAAGCATCTCAACAATCACAACGCAGAAGCAAGAAGAATAGGAGGAATCCAGAACTGAAATGAGTTGAATGACCAGAACAAAGAAATAACTTTGAAAGAAAACTCTTAAAATAACATGTGTTTGTGCAGCACACAACATTATTTTAATATGCGGAGTTGCATAATATCATGGCATACCAATAATCTTATAGCCAGTAGCTAGTGTATTTAGGGCGGCTTTCCTAATTTCACCATCTCGTTCTGCTGTCAAGCTTGCAACAATTTGCAATGATTTCAATTGTCCACTTATCTGTTTAGAAGGGAATAGGATTTATTATTCTAGAAGAAAGAATGTATGAGCGAGAGAGTCCAATCCTCTCACCTCAGCTCCATGATGATCAATCAAGAAACCAACAAGATCGACACACTCTATCCGAGTTCGGTTGTTTTTAGAACGAAGACCCTCCAAAATGTAAGGGTAACTTTTTGTGACCGAATACATTTGAACTATTTGTTTTGTCAGGTCCCGCATTTTTTCTCTAACTTTTTCAATGTTATGTCCCACCTGCAACCAAATTTAGAAATCAGAATATTTGTACATGCAAACATTAGACCCATGTAGGAAACTGATTTAACCAACCCAAAACACTAAAATACTTGAGCTTGGATTGACCAAAACCAAAACTCAGCTTGATTAAAACCAAGTTTCATTTTTTCAAACTTGAGCTCAAAATAGAGCAGGAATTGAGCTACTCAACCTGAACTCAAGTAGGCTCCATGATTATCTAGATAAAGCATGAACAAGCCAGAATTCAAGCTTTATTATATATTTGCATATTAGATGTAAAATTTACTATTGGAATATTAGTAAGTCAAAAGCTTAATTAGGTTGTTAAGCTGCTCAACCAAGTATTAAAATACTTGAACTTGGCTGCCTTCGACATGACATAACCCAGTAAAGTATTCCATGATTCTAGTCTGAAAAGCTAGGAAGCATGGACTCGGACACATAATATGCGTACAACACAATACAGACATTGACACGACAATTTCAAAAACAATGAGGACACGAATACGGCAGGACATGGCAATAAAAAATATTAAAATTATATCGTAGACATTGGGCTGATTTTTAAAAAATATTTACCCTTGTGAAGAAAAACAGATGATAGACACAGCAACAAAAGAACATATGGTGTCATTATCCATACGAGAATTGTCTTTTCCTTCTTTGTTGTATCCGGCCAAGTTTGACATGTATTTGGTATGTCTTAAGCGTCAATGTGTCGGACACAGATATGAGATGGGTACGCAACGGGTTCAAAAGTGCCCTAGCTTCATAGCCAAAAAGCTCACAAAAACACTTGACTCATGGACAGCAAAATACTACACTAAATAGGCATGGTGCAAGGTAGCATACAACATGCTTCTCAAAATAATCTAAATAACCACCAAGCAACATTCATTGAAATGCACATATCTGCACATACAGAAAAATTCATGTACTTGAAGATAATGAACAAGACCTTCTCCATCAAGCATGGAAGAAATATGGCAGCTTCTGACTCCGTCAAAGCATATGCCTCACCCTTCAATGAGTCAAAAAGTTCAGGAAGAAACTCCAGCACCTATTAAATGCAAACCAAATGTTCATTATATCACAAAATACCCATTATTATCCACTCTATGGGAGAAATCATGAAATTGAAGCATTAATAATGAGAGAAAGAATTTTACCTTCAACAGGCATGTCGTGTTAGATTTACAGAACTGTAAAACAAACCACCTCAAAAGTATGTCCAGAACTTCAATTATTTCTCTTCGAATGGAAGGGAGTGCCTGCAGTTATTTTGAGAAGATTGAGATAAGACAAGCATTCACATAACCCCACTAAATAACTTTTAACAAGAATGTCATTCGAAAACCTTCTGTAACATCTCAAGACCATCAACTTGCTTCTTGAAATCTGTGCTCAATAAGCGCCTATGTAGATCCTCTCTAAAATACTTCATCATATCATTCTGCAATAAAGGTGCATACCGCATTTTTCTTAGAAATCAATACTAATTAATGGTAAAAAGCAAATTCTTATAAGCAAAGGTCTACAAAAACAAACCTCAAGATCTTGGATCTGTTCAATTCGCGGCTCTTCAAACTTAACCTTTCGAACCACCATTCTCTCCCTTTCCTCCTGTGACAAAGGACAGATGAAAGATTATAAGAATATAGATGCTCATGCACCAAATAAGTGTGCATAGTTATGTTCATATGCTCCATAAATGTCAAATTAATAAATGACACAACCATACCTTATTTGAATCCTTAACGTTCAACAAAGACTGGGACTGAGCAGCTATATCTTGAACAGACAACATGGTTTCTAGTCTCAACCCCTTTGTTGGTATGGCTCTCTTCAAAGCCACATGAAAACAAGATAATTAATAGTCTTCCGATGAAAGAGTAACTAACCAAAGCAATCAAAACCTACTGAAGTTACAGTTCTATTTCCATGCTTTGTGACACCATTGGCATTAGATTTTGCATTCTTTGCGTTGGTTTTTGATGCTAGTCCAATAGAAACTCCTTTGGATGATTCAATTGATTCTGAGAGATATAAAACAGATTAGCATATGAAAAGAATGGGATTTGGGGGTGAGGGGAAAGGGCGTTGGAAGTAAGCCAAAGCAAACAAAAACATACCTTGGAAAGACCCATAAGGTTTTACCCGCTCAAGGATAAGAGCTAAAGCTGGCCCTCGTATATCTTTAAGATTCTTGTCAATCTGATAACATGATATATGCAAAAAGCTAAGAAGTTCAGGCATTAATCTAAACACAATTGAATGACAAAGTCATAGAGGCAAATACAAGGATAAAAATAAATTCAAAAAGCAACATAATTCTGGTAGACATACTATTTCCTGTCCACTAACTCTTAAAATTTCACCAATGCATCCCTCTGCCGCTTTGCGAACATCAGATGATTTATCCTAGGAAAGATTCCAGACATGCAGATATGTTTAAAATGACTCACAAAAATGTATAGGAAGAGGAAACACAGAACATTTATCTACTAAACAAAAAATTACCATCATGGCAATGGCAGCAGGTTTGAGCAGATGCACAGCATCAGAAAATTCACTAAGTCCAGAAAGTTGCCTAGATGACCAATCAAAAAGATCTTTACGTCCTTCCGCCCCAAGCTTAGCATCTATTAGTGCTGAAGTGATGTAAGGAACCTAAAACAAAAGAATTATTTTAGATACCTAACAATAAAGATAGTGAAAACTACCAGAATGAAATTGGATAAACAGTCACCATTTTATCAAAATGAACGGCTGCATTCCAAGCATCTAAAGTAGACAAAGTGCTCTCTCTCATATGCTTCTTATTGTCACCAAGGCATTTCAAAATATCCAATAGAATTCCCTGCAATTAATAAATTCATGCATGAATTCATTCTTCTAAACAATGAAGAACAAAAAGATATTTTAAATGATAAATTGTGTCCACAAACCTTGCTTGCCTTCTCGACAGCTGGACCCACCGCAGATGCAACGCCACCAATGGTAATCAAAGTGGCCATAACCAAATTTTTGTTGCTATCATAAAGCCGCCCCCTTAGAGCACCAAATAGTTCTCCTGGCAATCAAATAATCCACATGATCACAATTCTTACAGAATGAACTGTATAGATGGTCACAATCAGTCCAGAAAAGTTCTTAAAGCCACAGAATACCAATTCCGGTTGGTTGAATGCGCTTGTTAGCCTCTTCCAAAATTTTATTGACAGCTTCAATAGACTCTAAACGAACCTAGAATGGATAAACATGGTAAAACACCATAAATTCTTATTGAAGGAATCATTCTTGCATCAACATGTACAATAAACACGATAGTAGTGAAGTGCAAAATATTGACAGCAATACCTTCCAATCAGGACTTTCCAAGCTCCTTAACAAGGTAGGAGTGATCTTTCCACTAATATCTTCACGTGGGAGACTATCGAGTCCACCAACAGATAAAGATGTTGATTCTGACGCCCTGACGGTTTTCTTTGGTGCGGCAGAAATACCCTGAAGATTAATACATAAAATACAATCAGTACCCTATTCGCAACAACTGTCTAGAATGTCAGCCGCCTACCATTAAACTTGGTATGTACTATAATTTGAGAGACACACCAGATGTGTGTGCAAACATACATTTTTAATTATAAATTATTAATAAAAAACTACCAGAGAGAAAACAGGATATAAGCAAATTGTACTGGAAAATTGAAGGAAAAAGAGAGAGGATATTGCTTTACTGTCCCTAACTTTATTTCACTTCATTTATTTAAGGGTATTATGGTATTAAATGATTCAAGACAAATATGTTAGAATTTAGTTGATCCTTCAACTCAACTAATCACCGAATTAACATGATAGTAGTATGCATACCTCAAATGGATTTTTTTCATATTCAGCATCAAGTGCACTAAGCAATGCAGGTTTGACATCCGTAAGAAACCCCTTGATATCTGTGAAAAAAGAAATTCATAGAACATTTAATCATGAAGCAAAGTTGTATGGACAACTTTAAATAGGACAATGCCAAACATCAGTCATCACCTGGACCGATAAACTTATGTAAAGCACCCAAAACCTTAATTGTAGCATTTCGGGTGGCTGCAGCACTGGACTGCAGTCCAGTATCTTTACAGAAATCAATTAGATCCTGCAATGCAGTTAATATCAATGCATAAGCAAACCATAATCACAGTTATATAAATGATTATGCGCTGTGACAAAAAATAGTTCAGACAAGTGAACTACCTTCAATTTCAGATGTGATACACCAAAGTCCTCAACAGCTGAGACCATCCACAATAAACCCTCACTAAGAACCTTGGGATTCTTGTGCTCTTTCATGATTTTATAAAGCTGAAATAAATAATTCTTTGATGCATTATTCAAGAGAAAGTGAAACAAAAGTAGAAAACAAATGCAACAAAACAGACTATTCTTGATCTCTGCTTCAATAAATGCTCAATTGAATGAACTGCTATCAATATAGGTATTAATGATCAGAATATGGTATTTGATCTTCACTTACCCTTTCAAAAATAAATCCTGGACCAACTGCCTCAGATAAAGTGGTGAGGCATTTCATGGCATGAGCACGAGTCTTGATATCTGCCACTCTTTCACTTATACCTGTCAATTAGGTAAAATAAAAACAGGTAACCTAATGTTGGACTGAATGAGAATTAATTTTGTCACAAGAGACATAAATTTAGGCATAAAAACAAGCATACAAGGAAACTGATAGCAGAAGGACAACCACAACAAATTCTAAAAGCAAGATGTTTGAAAATGGGAATGGGGACATGTCTCAAGCTAATACTCACCAAGAAGGCAAAGCACAACACATTTCTTTGGAAATTTTGTTGCACTAGAGGCCAGATAAGTGACAACTTCAATAACTTGTTGCTGGACCTGCATTGTTCAACTTGGAAGTTTTGTTATTTCTTAAGACTAAGAGAAAAGAGGAGAGAGGTTAAAGAAAAGAAGCTTCCGTCTACATCTGCATATACCTGAATATTTTTCTCATTCCAACCAGGAATAGCACAAAGCAAACGAATAAAAATCTCCACAGACTGATCAAGGTCCTGGAGACCTTCAACCTGTTGTTTTAGTGATGATATGGCTGCAATCAGAGAGGTTTGGGTACCCCAATTAGAAAACTCAGCTAACATTAAATAATGCTACCAAGCAAAAAAAAAAAAAAATCCAAAACTACTAACAAAGAATATATAAAGCACTTAACCTATAAACTAGCTAGTTTTAAATACACCATGGGAAGCCAAAAATATCATATTTTAAGGCTTTTGATCAAAAATTTATATTAGAAACGGCTCTGACCAATATTTCGAGAAATTAAACCATAATATAAAAGACAAACTTACGATGAGTATTTGGAACTTATGGATCAAGCGCTTAATGTGTTTATGTTAAACCTCATAAGTAACACAAAGGCCCAAGAAAATCAGAAACTCAAATAAAATCTCAAGCAAATGAGTTAATCCTAGAAGCAATTTTGAAATAATTTAGCAGAAGCTTCTGCTGAATGAAAAGAAAATTAAGAAATTCGGTAATACATGAACATTGATCAGATTAGCATGTCCAACCCATTGATCAGATTAGCATGTCCAACCCAAATCAACTGGATTAACCATATTGTACCTTGCACTGCAATATTCTCCATCCTCGTCATAGAATTCTAGGGATTCCTTAGAAATCTTAAGGAACAACATTTTAGTCAAAGAGCTAACACCATGTACAGAAATGTTACATGTGGGAAAAGGCCATAACCTTCTCACTTTCAGCAGTGAATTTAAAAGTAATGGATGCATATGTATAACATGTAACTGGAAGTACAAATAACATGGAACCAGTAACATGTTTAATTATTTCAAATAATTTTGAAATAAGCAAAGGATAATATATTGAAAATTATTTATTGACTTAGCATACAAACAATATTATTTAAAAAAAAGAATAGCATACAAACAATATTATTTAAAAAAAAGAATAGCATACAAACAATATTATTTAAAAAAAAAAAGAATTAAGCATCTTCTATATCCAATAATCACCCAAAAAATAAAAGCATTATAAAGAATAGGAAGAGACAGAAATCAAAGGTGAAAGGGAAACTAAAAGACATTAGCTGCCTGTATTAATTTAATTAAGTACCTCTTCTAATAATAAGAACGTAGAACTATGCTTTCAATTAGTCTATAAGCACTTCTCCTAATTACAAATATAATTGACTTTACATGTATGTGTATATATATATATATATATGATATAGTAAAAATAAATATCTATATATACATCTATGATCTGCATGAATACATGAATTTGCAACTTAACAACCATCTATAACCTCCGGTACAGTCCCTATTTATCAATACTCAGTTAAATCACATAAGTACAGACATGAAGGCAGTAAAGAGGAAGTTACAAAAAAAAAACCAACCTTCAAGACGCTCTTTCCATAAAGCACTCTTCAGTTGAGAAATGATATCTGCCTGTATGAGGGAACCTAATCTGCTTTCAATCTCTTCAAGAGTCATTTCCGCTGGCTGTAATTGTCAGACAAATCAAAAGTAAAGATATTACGATCTTTCAAGCTATTACAGTAATGACAATCAAAAAACTTTAACAGATAAGTTTACCTCAGTGTCCTCAGGTGGTTCAGTCAATTTCCCTGTTTCCACCCGTCCAGCTGCATCTACCTTTTTGTTGGTGCCTGACTTCACTGAGGACCCTTTCTTGTTGGCAGGCTGATAAACAGTTCAAAGTTTCAATCAGTATGACACTAGAACAAAGTTTAATAAACCAAATAATAAAGAATAAGAATAACACCCAAATAATCCCTCGAATTTTACACAAAAATAAAAGTAAGTCCATCTTTTATTGGATAAGTCCTTCATCTTTTATTGGATGGGATTAAGGCTATGATCTTTTATTTTATTACAATTAGAACCTTGATGTTATGGAATATTAGATATTTCATTAAATTTTTTCGTAGTTGGATGATGTAATTTATAGAAAATGCTTACTTGAATGTATTTAGATGACAAATATCTGAAGAAAGATTGTTTTAGTAATTCTGTCAATTGGACTTTATTCATCTATTTTCAATACTTAACGTGTACAATTACAATGAAATAATAAGTTTATAACTTTAATTTTATGCAATTTAAGGCTTATTTCTATTTTTTATTAAAGTTCAAAGACTTATTTGAGTATTATCCTTAAATAATAAAATCTTACTGCTGCAGAAACAGGCCTCTTCCCACTAAGCATGCTTGCTGCTGATTTCCTAACAAATGAACCTTCAGAAAACTGCATAGACTACAATAGCTAAAAACATCATAAGTTTGTGATCCAGTGATGGAATTTTCTAAATTCTTTAACATGGCAGACAAAATGACCAAAAAAAGAATAACAAATATTTATAGAGAAGTTGAATAAAAATTGTGTAAAATTCAACTGTCAACGTAAATCATCATAATTCATAATTAATAATCTTAGCAGAAATGATAAACATCATTGTTTCTGGAGTAAAAATGAACAATCAAAAATATACATCATAAACCGTATCTTCAACCTTTTGTAGTATTTTCATCTTAGATCAACTTATTTATGCTGGCATTAAGGTGCTTCTCCTTCTCATTATAATTGACTTTTCATGCATTATTTGTATTAGTAAATAATCTTCCACATACAGAGTGAAGAAAGACAGTGAAAAAGAACTTAGGTCACTGTATGTCAGTAAATGGCATCACCAAGTAGTTCTTTTATTTTGTAATACAGAAAACTGTATAGAAAAAACATCATCAATATGCCCAGAGATGCTTTTGCAAAGTTAAACATGTAAATATCATGCATTTATACTTTGAATCATCCATGTGTGATCACCAAAAATCAGAAGACTCCGTTCTGACAAGCATCAAACTCAACACTTTCATTTTGCTTTGTGAAAATATATAAGATCTTCTGCATATGCTTCAAGGCTTACCAGCCATGTTAGATACCATGCCACAAATAGGTTCTATACTAAATTCTTTTCAAAGAAACCTAGCAAAATTATGGCTTGCTAAGGTTATAGATCCAAATAATGTCAGGAAGAATATATCATTCAGTGCAGACAAAAAATATATATAACACTGGACAGTATCATATGTAAAAAGCATAAAGAAAACAAATAAAATGCTAAACATTAGGTTCAAGAGTGCACTCACCTCTTTAGAAGACACACCACCACCTGAATTTCGAAAAGAAGCTGGAATATTATGAAAAAGGTAAGAAACAAAGACACATAACTAGTTAAAAAGGGTTCTAAGAGTTCCAACACTAAATGCAATGGTCAGCATGCAGAGAAAATCTTACACACCTGAGCTAGTACCACCAGACACAGCAGCACCAGATCCGGCAATCATTTCAGAGAGCTTCTTTTTTCTAACATCATCGAGTTTCTCAAGTGACCTCTCTAATGGCCTCATACCGACAGACTAAGAGAGAATAAGCACAAGTAAAATTTATATAGGGGTAAAATATCTCATGGAATTGAAGAGAAGATAACATAGTAAGTAAAAATATTACCTTAGCTATAGCTGTCAATGCTGAAAAGGCTGCATCTCTCACGTCTGGGGTCCCATCATTAAGACACTGCAATCCAAATTCACAGTATTCTGATGGTTAGAGCAATATATAAAAAGTGAAGAAACTACAAGAGCATTAACTTGTACTTTAATACTGACTATGTAACTTTCATTTATAAGAACTCTGAACATGTACACAACCACATATCATAATTCAACTCAAAAGGTTCTTAGAATTTCCCCCATCTCCTTAATTCCTTCTTCTAGTTTTCTTAATCTCCCAGGTGAGTCAGACTAATGTGAAGCACAGATAGATGAAAATAGTCAGACTTAAAGTGTTCTAACCTAGAATAAGCATTATTCAAAGGAACACCACACTGACCTCCATGCAGATTGGGACATAATCCTTATGCACCTTCAGAACAACAGCCTTGTTACTTGTTTCGATACAGAATGCCACCCAGTTCAAAGTTAATGAACGCACAAGTGGAACTTTGTTTTTAGCTCCAGTTTTAATATCTGCAATAAACAACATATATTAAACAATAATAGTCTTGACAGCCACCACCTACCCAGGGTCAGTGTTGGTAAGCAATTTGTTTCCTACACCTCCAGCTTATATTTTGAAAGCAAATTGTAGATGTAAATAGTAGTCAGAAACTGTTACATGGAAACAAACTTAAAAAAATAAAAGAATCAGAAAGAGATTTCATTGGAAGAAAAGAGAGTATAAATTGTTCGTCCCGATAAAGACAACTTCGAAAATTAGTGATTAGAATAAGGAACTTGCCTTCCACAATGTCCACCAGATTTAAGCACCCTGCTTTGTGCATTGCTTGAAGAGTTTGTGTGAGTGACTCAGTCAAAGCAGGTTTTTTCTCTTTTAATTTTTCCTGTTCAAGAGAAATGGTTCATACAAGCAGTAACTTTATGTTAAGTCCCTATTTCACCCATTAATGATAAAAAGTTGATAAAGAAATCTACATACAGAACAATACATGCTGTCAATTTGAGAGCTTAAAAACCATTAACAGCATCAACTTTTACATAAAACAGCAACTTGGTTCCAGAGGAGAGGCAGCAAGTATCTCAAATAATGCACAGAGCTGCACTCCCCCACCCCCAAGGGCGAAAACAAAACATCAAAACAAAAACCATTAGAACTTTGTTTGCCAGGTTAGATCAAGAAATGGGTGATCCAGAAAACAAGAGAATCCTTTTGACATTTTTTTGCATGTGATTTTGACACTCAAAAAACTTAAAATAACAGCACTGACAGTTTAATACATGTAAAAAGGAAGAAAATGAAAACGAAAAGAGAAAATATTAAAAACAAAACAGGTCATCTATTATATTGAGGCCACATTACTCCCTAGTTGCATCAATTTTCTTGTTATAGCAAAAATAATACAAGCGATTAGTAATAACAAACTAAGCCTTTTCTAGCTAGGTAAGCTCACCATAAGGCTCCTACCATGCCATTGTGACAGCAATGACAAAAGACTGAGGAGCGATGTGATAAACCATTGAAAAATTTCAATTATTGTATTTTTGTAATGCAATTGGTTATTCATTTTGGGGGTCATTGTTCAGAATATTTCATTAAAAAAGTGCTGAAAACTTTAATTAGTTAAAATCTCATTAATGTACTAGGTCAATCCTATTTAAGGAAAGTTTTATCATTCAATTGCATCAACCTTGAATTCATTCATTTTTAACTATCTAGTCTTTCCCTTCAATTTTTATTAATGTAAAATCCCTATAAAATTCATATATTTATCTTTTTTACCCAAAAAAATCAATAAATATTCTGTTCACTAGTAAAATTTCAGCAATATACCAAATTATTTTTATAGTATAAATTCAACACTCAATATTTTCAAAATTAAAATTTCAGCACTTAATTTTTCCAGCTTATCAAATAGCATATCAGATAATATGAAGAACAATGGATGGAGGACTTGTGAATGTAGGTTACTGCAACAAAAAGCAAGCAGCTTACATCATGAGTCCAAAGATGTGAAACATTAATAAACAAACAATAACCACAAGCCAAAAGCAGCATCCAAGGCATATGAACAGTTTTACTCTCAGGTACATGATGCACCAGGGCACATAGAAGTTGGTATTAGATGAGCATTAACTTTGTGCTTCTATTATTCCAGGAAAAAAGATAGCTATTGTCCATCTTTGTTTGTATTGTCAAACCAGACAAACATGGTACCGTCAGTTTTACTTAAAGAATTAAAATTTCACAACCAAATGACTTGATGATAAACAAAAATGAAGCAAGAGAGTGATAAAATGCAAGTAAAGCTGATTTAAAAGTAACAATAGAAGGCATAGTTTCAAAAATAGAAAAGAAGGAACATGGTATGCAATTAAATGTTTTCATGAATATTTAAGTTATATTGCACTTACAAGTAAAATTGGCAACAAAAAGCGTGAACTACCAGAAAAATGAGTCCGCAAACCCCGAGCAAGATTCCCAATAGCTTGGATGGCTTCAACTGCAACAGCCATGTTTACATCTGTAACAAGCTGCAAACCGAAAACAACTTAGGCAAATCAAGTACCAACAAAAAAACAGAACAAAAGGGTTAAAAATTAAAGGAGAGTTTGACATGCCAAGATAACATAGTAGAACCTAGGTAAGCTCATACCCAGAAATACACACACACATGATATGCATGCATTACTGTCAACAAAACTTTATCCTAGAAAATGCTTCAACAACCACATATAGCAGTTACACTAGTCATCAAGTAAATAATAAAAAAGAAATTGAATCCTGGTTTCCACTTGTGAATCAGGTAGAAAAGATTAAAGAATCTCTTACATTCTAACAAAGAAAAAAAAACGAGGATTTAGATAGAAAGTAATAAAAATGGTAGCGCTCATGCAGACAGAATTTTATCCTCATAAAACTTAAAGATGCACGATAACACCCTCATTGAATGTGATGAAAAAAAAAGACAAATGAACCTCTTGCATACTAAAAGTGGAACACAACAACAAGGTTTGATTGGAAAGTAGAGAAAAAGGTAATATTCATGCAGTAAGAACACCAAGAAAGTGTTCATCCTGTCTTGATTGAAACAAACTTGTCTTGTCCCATTACAAGGTGTGACTGCAAGCCTTTTAAGAGATGGAAGCAGATTAAAAACCTTCTTCAATGTCCGACAAACTTCTGTAAAATCACCAGGTGCTATCTTCTTTGTTGATGCAAGCTTGGTAAGTTCAGCAACAGCCTCCTTTCTTTCTGACCACTTGGTAGCTTTCTACAAGTCAGACAGTTTTTACAAAGAGAACAGATAGTCAGCAGCTTAAAATTCCAATTTGAAAGCCACAAGTATCAAAAGAAAAGAAATAAATAAGCAGTTTGTCAAAATAATATCAAATACAGGGACAGCACTAACCACTCCATTCCAAAAGCAAGACTTCTCCAGAGGAATTAATATATCAACAGGATCAACAAGCTCATATTCATCTATTTCCTGAGGAGCTGACAATACATACATACATGTCAAAAGTATGAGATTAGCTTTATTAAGAAAATGTCAGAAAATTGTGCAATCCAAAGTTCATAATAAATTACATACTATCAGCTACAGATTCTTCAACAGGGCCAGGGCCAGAATGAGAAACAGCTTCAAGTTCTGGCTCCTTGTCTTGCTCAGATCTAAAAAAGGATAATGAAAAGCTTAAAATATGACAAATCAGACCTAAACATTGTAAACTGAACCATAAACTTGTAAACTGTATAGATAAAGAGTAGCAGAGAAAAACATGCCGATACAACCGTTGTAAAGATATGAATTCATCAGCTGTATTAGACAAGTGAAGAACACTTGAAACTTCACCGCTATATCCTAATTGTCTCTCCCCATTGAATTTTCTAATACATTTACATGTATATTTATGATTGACAAGAAAAATAATATAAAAATAAAACAAATAATTCAATCAATTATTTGAATATCTCAAAAAAAACATTTTTACCAATCTTGTGCATTAATCTCTAAAATTTTGCACCTGTACCAAAGTTATTCTAACATGTGAGCTCTATTTTGGCACAAGCTCAATAATTCAAGTATTATTCAGAGCTCAAAATGGTCAGTACTAGTTGACACTTAAGTGCTAGTTTTCTGTTTCTTGTTTTAACCTGCATTTTTTGTGTATATGGTCACCAGAGTTAAGATTGATTTGTCAACTTCAAGATTTTAAAAGAAATATACATGGCCAATTCAAAGTACTTTTATTTGCTTATCCTGCAAGCGGTACTACCACATCATTCTTCTGCATTACCCTCATTTGTACTCACAAAATGGTCTCACCTGAGCTCAAATCAATGCTCAAAGGAATGAAAGCACAACACTTCTCAAACATGGTTAGCTCTAAATGATAACACGTGGCAGACAAACAGCCCTCTAAGTATCACATTAGTTAAAGGATATATAGTTCAAGTATCACTTTAAAGATTTTTAAAATTCGAAAATCACATTGAACATTTTATTATAGTTCAAAGCCATTCGTGATATTATTCCGATTTTGTATAACCTTCTCTAGTAAAAGCAATACATATTATTTTTTGATAAGATTCTATTGTAAAATCAACACCTTTAATAGTATTTTTGATAACCTTCTCCAATAAAATCGCTAAATTCAGTACATTTGATAGAGTTTTTAATAATCTTGTGCAGTAAATTCAATACTCTTTTATGTATTTTTGATAACCTTGTTTAGTAAATTTAGTATCTTTTATTTTTTGTATATCTTGATAACTTTGTCATAACTTTGTCTTATACATTCAGTATCTTTAATTGTATTTTTGAGAACCGTATCTAGAAAATTCAATATCTGTGATTGAGTTTTTGATAACATTGTACGGTAAATTCAAAACCTTTTCATGTATTTTTGATAACCTTATTTAGTAAATTTAGTATCCAATGTATTTTTGATAATCTTATTTAGTAACTTTTAATTTTTACCTTGATAACCTTGCCTTCTAATATTAGTATCTTTAATTGTATTTTGATAACAATATCTAGTAAATTCAGTATCTTTGATAGAGTTTTTGATAATCTTATATAGTAAATTCAATATCTTTTCACTTTTTTTTTTCTAATATTGTTTAGTAAATTCTTTTAAACACATGCATACATAGCACAGGGTAAAATTAAAGAAATTATAAACAACAACAAATTTACCTTATCTTCCGTGATGGCTTGGCAGTCCCCATTACATTCACAAGCTCAGCCTCAAGCTCTTTTTTCTTTAAACAGCAGAAAGAAAAAAAAAATAGATAACATTTTATTTCAATCTAACAGGAAAAAATGCATGTATAGAACAGACTAAACTTAATACTATTTTACCATTGTGTCACGCATCTTCTCAAACAATATTGACTTGACAGGATCCTTTCCAATCCAACGACAAAGCTCAAGAGTCAGTCCTTTGGAGGATGCACGGACATTTTGATCTTGGTGGTCAAAAAGTTCAGGGAGCATCTTCAGAATTCTTTTAGGAGGGACAATTTTGGCTCCAAATTCACTAATTGCAAACAGACAATAAGCAGCTGCAGGGAGCAAGTAATAGAATTAATGCATAGTTTGTGTCAAGGGGATCTCGTATACACACCTTAGCGCTTGAAACATGACATCAATTGCAGGCACCACTGCTTTGGCCACTTTATTCTTTATGGCCTTCTCCATTGAATCCTATGATTAACGCAAAATATGTAAAGGGGTGACAAGAACATCTCTACTAGATCAAAGCAAAAACCAATTATAGTAAAAATGAGATGCATAGACTTGGAAAGAAGAGCAACAATGTAGTTTAAAGAGCCCCAAAATACAGAGACGTGAAATGCTTTCTCCTGCAAGAGAAGGATATGTAATAATATTTAGCCCCCCATACAGGAGAAAGGTAAGCATTCCGTGCAGCTTAAGTCCCACTCTTATGACAAAAGAAATCAAACAGTACTAAATGCCCCAATAGGACCCAAAGAAAAATGAAAGAAATAGAGATAAAGCAAAATGTAGATAAACAGCCCTTAGCATAAATAAAAAAAAATCAAAAGAAAAAATTCATACTCAAAACTCTAATCAACCATTGCAGTATTGAACATGCAAATATGCACAAAGACAAAGATCATATGCATCAGAGTGTCTGGCAGATTACCCTTCCTAGTTCCTCTCAACCTCCATAGAACCATGGACACTAAGCAAGTTCAGATTTGTCAAACAGAAGAATCCTAATGCCTAGCAACTTGGTTTGGAACTTTACAAAATAACCCTTTAGCCCCAATATAAAGAGAAGAAATTGCATATCTACTTAAGAGGGGAAAACCTGGAGAAGAAAAAAGTGGAAATGTAGCTCAAAAAGGTTAAGCTTCAAGTGCATTAGATAATCCAATGCATGTCTATTAACATGTATTAGCGCGTTTTTGTTACTGCTTGTTACTGCATGTTTAATTATTTCAACTCTATTGATTTGAGTTATTATTCCAAACAATTTAGATCCATTCTTTGTGTCATCTCTTTTCATATACTATTAACTCTTTCATCTGCTTTGTTTCTTTCTATTCCCTAATTAACAAATATTCCTCTTTCCAAGGGGAAAGGGGAGGGGGGAGGGAGGAAGGGGATGGGGCAGTGGGGGAGGGGGGGGCTATTGTGAGTAAGGCATTTAGCATAGAGCATAGTAGCAAATGGGCACACAGAAATGAGTGCAAACAGTAATTTTGTTTTTACCAAAAGTAGTAATCTGATCTGTACAATATTTAGAAAAGTTTGAATACTTTAAATAACATTAACTTAGAATATATAATAGTAATCTCTATCAGGCCAACTCCTCATCCTAGCCACTGGAGCCCTAGTACTTTATGAGCCATTTCACCCAGCAATGCATCTCAAAAAATATACGTTTCAATCTTTTGAGTTACTAAAATTTTACATGTTTAGACCCTCTCCTAAATGGAAAATATCTGCTGCAAGTCAATATAAGTAAAAAGAGGTACAAGTGCAAAACACATTTTACCTAGAGTTTTAATTTCATTTTCGGTTATACAACTCTGAATTCTAGCATGTTTTGGAGAAGGCAGCATGAGAATCCAACCTAAATCCAATAACATTTTAATGGGTGGATTTTCCCCATGCTTTTACAATTTGTTTTAATTTATCCAGGTCACTGTATGTAAGGCAAGAAACCAACGCGTTTTAATTTATACCACAAATAAATGTCCAATCTCAACGCACTAGAAAGAGTCTAACAGATCAGGTACTGCTCTTCTTTTCTCAACCCTTTTCCTCTTTTGCCCCACTACCCACTCTATCACCATAAATCAATTTTGAATTGGAATCACACAATAGATTTAAAAGAAGAAGATTTTTTAAGACATTATCAAACATACTAGGAAAACATCAACAGCCTCCAATTCTACCCAGAGCATAAACGCCGCCTGAGCCTTCTCAACCGTCTTAGGCCTCCCGGTGAGACATTTTGCCACGATGGTATCACATACTTCCTTCGCATACCTAACACCAGAACAATCTAAATATCAAATATCGGAAGAAACCCTACAAAATGAAGATTTCAAAAAAAAATCAGATTAAAAATAGTTCTAAAAAGAAAACGGCATCACCTTCCGGCATCAGCGTCGGCTGCTTTTAAGAACGCAATCAAAGCATCCAACGCCTTCTCCTGCACCGGCGCATTCGAATCCGCCACCGTTTTTCTGAAAAACGGAGCTGTGCATTTGAAAATGACGAAGATCCATCAATCAATTGAGCAAATCAGATCCGAGAAGTTAAAATTAAAAAAAAAAAAAACTAACCTATTTCGCGGAGCCTCGAGTCCTTCGGATCCGTGATGGAACCGCAGAGAGAAGCTAAGTCGATGTTAGCCTCGTTCCTCACCTTCCAATTCTTATGCAACAACCGATCTTCCCATGGCAATTTCTTTGCCTCCTTCAACAGTTTCTCTTCTTCAGACATCTTATTTCTACTTTTACTTTTATTTTCTTCTATCAATCAATCGATCAATCCAAATGCAGAGCTCCAGAATAAGAAAGCTTCTTCTTTTTCTTCTTAATTTTCCTCTTTCTTTTATATACTTTTTCCTTTTTTTGCATTTTTGTCTCTGCCGACTGCCAGCGAGAGACCAAATTGATAGAATGGCGTTTCAGGAGCCTGAATTGCTGTGTAGCTTTATCACTCATCCAAAACAGAGAAGCTAGAGAGGTTATTTGAATTATACGTTTAAAACAACTTCATTCCCCACGCGCCACTGGGTGCCCTTATCATCACGCTGAGCTTTCCAACTTTCCATTGACAGCTTCCTAGGAACTACCGTATCGTACATGATACGTGTCCTTTAACGCGTGACCCTTTCTTTCTCAACATATTACTATCGGCGTTGGTTGAGCAGTGTAAATTGTGGGGCCCATGATGCGGGGTTCACAAAAGGGTCCACCAGATCCTGTAAAATTACTCTTCCCGTCACAGTTGATTTACTTTAAAAACTTTTTCCTCTAAAATTAAAATCTAAGATAGGATACCGTGCCCATGTCAAAATTTTTTGATTTATCATCCCTATCTATTATTTATTTTCGTAAAAACTTTTAAATTAAAAAAATAGAAAGAATAAACCACGTAAAAATGATATATGGATATAAAAAAATGAAAAAAAAGAACTTGACATCATAATCTATTTAATTAATTTTTAATTAGTATTATTGAAAGTGATTTTTTTTAAAATATCTTCAATAATTCATTCAAAAAAATTGAAACGGATTCTTAAAGGTATATTTTTTTTCAAAATGCATTTAATATTCCACATAATATTTTTTTAAGTGAGATTATTGAAGGCAATTTTGATTAAAAACACCTTTAATAATATTTTGTTAGGAATTATTCAAGACGTTTTCTTACTAAAAATGTCTTCATTAATCCCATCAAAAAAATATTTTTGATATTATATATGTCAAGTCAATTACGGTTTATGTCTAGAAAATATTTGAAGTCAATTATATATTTATGCACAGAAAACATTTGGTTTATATATGTGATACTACAAATTATATTTTGGAATTTACATAATGAACATTGTTGTATTTCAATAAATCGACCATACATCTGAATTCAAAATCAATAACGTTGCCATATTAATATACTTTTATGAAATAATCATACTCAATAATATATTAAGGACATGGTGTATTCATATTAAGTATACCAATAACATTAAACCAATACCCCAATCTACAAACTTAAATTTTTCATTCAATTTGGCATGTTAAAAACATTACAACAATTTGTTCCTCATTTATTTACATTCAACCAACAATGTCTAATATCAAGTTTATCAACATTGATAAATGATAATACATACTCACACCATTCTTACGAACTTCATCCAATTCCTCTACCATGAAGCTTTCTTTACCCTCTCACTAAAAAAAATATCAGAAGTAAATGTTAATAAATGAGAATATAATTTAGCTTTTTATTTTTTTGAAGATATAACGAGTTTATGAAATTTGTACTGACCTTGAATAGTGTGGTCATAAAATCATATAAAACTATCCCCGCATAAAACGAAGGTTATAATATCTACATTTAGTATTACTGGGTTGACGAGGTATCTAAAAATTAAATTGAGTGGGTTTAGAAAACACTTATCTACACAAACATAGCATAAAAGAATAAATTCCACATTTATCGGTAATGACACCTATTTCAATTTTTTTGTCTTCTTATCGAATGCAGATATTAGCCTAAATTGAAAAGAAAAAAATTACTTAATACATAAATAAAATTACTTATGAAGAAACAGAATGTATATAATATAATAAAGTGTAATACCTCTTTATAAAAGTTTGAATATCAGGGTTAGGCATCGCTATTAGATTAACTAAATTAAATAAGTATAGCATTAAGGATTTAGTATCAATCACAATAAACACCCAATGACGACTGTAAAATAATAACAATGATATACTTAGATTATGCATCAGATCAGATTTGGGTAAGGTTGGAATAATTAAGGTTGAAATATAACTCACTGCGCATTATATAGGAGTAAATAATAATCAACCACTCTTTTTATACATTCAGTCACATGATTAGCACGATAAGTGACTGTGCCACTTTGCTCACTAATGAAGTTAGGGTCAACGAATCTAAATCGATTAGTCAACTATCTCCCCTTGAGATCTTTATATAGGAAACTGCACGATAACATTCAATAATGGCAGTTAGTATTACACTGTAATATATATTAATACATATTGAATGTGCATATTTATATTTATAAGCTAACCTCATATAAACAACAATATCAACAGTTGATAAATCATCCAGTTCACAAAATTCTTTAACCTCTTCCACACCAATGAAAGAAAATGATGCTTTACAAATAACCCTTTTTCAGATTCAATGGTTATGAAGTTTTCTCTAGAAAAATGCTCCAAGGAATAATTAGATAACTTATCCGGGGTAGCCTGAGCAAGGGTCATACTCTGAGTCCCAAAATCTTGCTATAATATTTAATGAAATATAAGTATTAAAACCAAATCAATAAATATAATAAATATATTAATATTAAACTTACAAACAAAATCATATTTCATTGGTGGTAGCAGAGGTTGGGTTCACTGCCTGACTTACAACAAAAGCTTGTCCTACGTGGATAATGCTATCAGACTGGCGTATTGGCATGTTATGCTACATTGCTACCAATATGACCTACAAAGCAGTGAGTCTTTGCTGTTGTTCATTGAGGCGTTACTCCTAGTCATCAATTTTTTACTGTTGTTGCTTAATGATTGCTTTATATTTGTGCATTTCTCATTCACAAGGTTTTGGGTTGATTACTTAAAAACTTTGATGGCAAGATAAATTTACCAACCCCACGAACCCGACTAGGCTTTTCTTTAGCGCCTAATGCTAAAGACAATGGATTTTTACCATACTAGGTTGCCAGTTCACTAGATTGAACTTTGGTAGCATAATCATCATGACAAACAATAATAAGATAGGCTGTAACAATAAATCTATACAAGCTAGTATACAACCATGTATACAACCACAATGTCATTTATACATAATATTAAAAAAGTAGTTATACATATAATCTTTTTTGCCATTTTTTGATTGCTTCATTTCTAAAGGATCTATCTTTTCATAGATGTCCTTATTTTCAAACATTCCATCTGAAAACTTTGGTGTTAGAGCTCGTTGATTCCTATTAAATTATCGTAATATAAAAATCAGAATATATGAAACGAATGTTCATAAATTTTCATTAATGAGTACAAAACAAGTGTGCGAATACATACAAGCTCATACTTCACATTTACATATCCCTTTGTCATTGTCTGATGGTGATATTATGCCCGAATGTTCTGTTGGTTTTCTTTGATTTTCTACAAAAGAAAAAAATTATGTCAATCACATATGATGATCAAAGGATATATTGCATAAATACTTATAAATAATTTTGTTGGTAGTTGGTTTGCATACTGAAAAATCCTCTGAAAGTCGATATCGAATAAAATTTGTTTAATTTTCAACACTTATTACATCTATATATAACACAGGTGGAACAGCCAATAAATCACCTTAATCAACCAGCGGTAAAATATATTGGGTTGTCAATCCATTTTTAAAGTCTCTGAATGCTTTTCAGCAAATTGCAACATAATCTTTTTGTAGTCAATTAGGATGTCAAACCGTTCCTTAATAAGTTAACACAATTAGTATGAATACATTGAATTTCAATTAAATGATCATTTAACAAAATTTACGAAATAGTTGAATAAATATACCATAACCGATTACCATATATCATCCTTTAGATCATCAGGAACTCGTCACCAATTGGTGTCAATAATTGAAATCCTACTACAGACGATGGCTCCAATATGAGTAGCCAACTTGGTAGCTTATTCAAACACAGGCTGCCCACTTTAATTGAAGTCAACATGAATTTTTCTGTCACTCACTTTAATTTATTTATTTGGGCCCATTCTCTTTCTTTTTTGACTTATAGGTGTGTCTTGTGTATGTTCATTAAAAGGATAATGATATTGTTCGGAGTCCATAATACCTACGATTTTGATTATAATTATACGAATTACATAAAATGATCGTCTAAATTTAACACTGTACATAATTAAATACAACTAATACCATACTACGTACAGAAACACCATTCAGTAAACCATTCAGCATACCATTCAGCATACCATTCAGCATGCTAATATCATACAATACCATTCAGCAAAACAATATCACACTACAAGGTTCAATAAAACGTAATATTTAAAAAAAAAAAAACTACACAAAAACAACATACATACAATGAAAGGTATTTGGATGACTATGCTTATGGTGAAATATGCAAATTATATAAACACATATGTAAATAGTAAGGAACCTAAAAAAGAAATAACTCTATCAAATAATATAAATAATATAGTAAAAAATAAAGATATATCGGTAAACAGAGAGGTGCTTGTCAATGGCAACAATAGGGATAAAAAAACTAAAAGTCTAATAGAAATGTGTTTATGGGTTTGGTTTGGTTGATTAATGTAGCTTTTAATCGTTCTCTGTACTAACAGTTTGTGATTCCAATGTTCAATATAGTGGATTGAATATAAAAATTATTATTAAAGGCATTTTTTTGAAAAAAAAAATGCCTTCAATAATCGCCTTAAAATTTTAGTTAGAGATTATTAAATGTATTTTTTACTAAAAGACGCCTTTAGTAATCCAAAAAAATAATTTTCAAAGGAAATTATTAAAGGTGTTTTTTCCTCAAAAAATGCCTTTGATAATTCTAAAAAATTATTTAAGGCATTTTGAGTAGAAAACTGCCTTCACTGATATTTCTGTGATAAAAATGAAGAGAATTATTGAAGGCGTATTATGCAAAAAATACCTTCAATAAATTTCTTCAAAAAATTATAACAAATTATTGAAGGCGTTTTTTAGTAGATGATGCTTTTAATAATCTTAAAATTTTTTAAAAGAAAATTATAGAATGCGTTTGTTATAAAAAAAAACAAGTGTGCATAATTATGTACAAAAATTAAACAAATTAGTGAAGGTATTTTCCCAAAATAAACGCCTTTCCTAACCATTTTAAAATTTGAGTACTAGTATATTGAAGGTGTTTTTCAGTAAAAAATGACTTTAATAATCCTAATTTTTTTAAAAGGAAATTATAGAACGCATTTGTTATAAAAAAAATAC